GAATTAAAAATAACTCATAAGTATCAATCCAAAAAAATGCATTATCTTCACTGTTAACCGGTATGTTTCAAAACAATATTTTTGTGTTTCACTATCATAAGCTCCACAGATCACAAGCAAGCACGCTCCGCATGCTCCAGACGGGGTCTTACCCCTCTAGGGGCTTTCTGAGCATGCTTCATCCGGATATTGATCCACTTTGCCCAGATTGTGGTGAATTTTGCTCTTTGAGTCACATGCTCTGGCAGTGCCCTGCGTTACAGGATTTTAAAACAGAAGAAGACTGGACGACGGCAATCACAGACCCCAGACAAGACGTCCAGCTTCAGGCTGTCCAGAGGGCCCGTGAACGAGCGGAGAGGCATGGCCTCTCTGTTCCGACATGGGACTAGCCAACGGCTGGGTGGGGACCTACATAGTTGGCCCGCTGCCTTGCCTCTCAGGACCAAATAAAGTTGTTTGTCCTGTCCTGTCCTGTCCTGTCCTGTGTTTCACTACGATATTTTAGGGAAAACCTTTCTGAAAACAGTTCAGTACTTAAGTGGCAAGATCACCTTAGACATTTTATTGAAACTTTCATGTTTTATGAACACTTAAATTGCATGATTACTTGCATTTTTACAAACTCTGTGTGGTGTGGACACATTTCTATGTAGTGTAGACACATTTCGGTGTGGTGTGGACACTCAACATTGAATACGTGGACTCATTGCGTAAGCGTTGAGCTATATGTACATATGTATAGCCTTGTATTTGCTACAAAATATGCAATGTCGACTTTTGTGCAAGAGAAGAAGAGAAGCCGGGGCCACGCATTGGCACCAACCTCTCCTTATATACATTTAACAACAACAAAAAAAAATCCACGGGCCAAACACACACGATCAGTGCCTTTTGGACAGCAGACACAGCCACCGTTCTCGCCATCGCGGGCACATGTTCAAGTTGCCCCCCCCCCCCCCTAAAAACAAACAAAAAACTACTTTTGCAAGTTGACAGTGCCACGCTTATAGTTAGCGTCACATCTGTGGGGCCACGCTGCATTTACTGAATAGTTTTCCACGATATGCGTGTCTGTGTTCGTGTCATTCGCTCTTCGTTTTCGACGTAGTGCACGCATTCATAGTCTCACTGTGCTTGTTGTGCGCATGATGTGACCCACGACGACGGGCAGCTTTGGTTTTTTTTGCAATAGCAATTATATTGACAGTCTCGGCTGGTTTTTCGTGCCACCGCCGTCATTCAACAAATATGTATTCGCAATTCCTACGACCTATAGGTGGCGCCCCGTGCAATCCAAGATGGCTGCAGAGGGATGATCGACCCCTGAACTCACGTAGGAAAAGATAAGATGCATGGACTTACTCTCCAGGCCACTTTCACAGGATGAACTCTTTGTCATCAAATGAATGTATATCGAACCAAAGTACTTTCTCAAGCAATGGATGCTGAATATTCTCTACCTCATTTCTCGCTGCAGTGCAAAGGGTGGTAGTTTCAGCTGATCGACCATGTATCAACGATGCTTTGCGTAATTGTGTGCGTGCTACAGAAAACTGCGCGAGCCAGAATTCACGTACGAACTGAACGGCACTTCGAGATCATTTTTGACAAGCCTGTCTGGCGGATTTGCCGCAGTAGTCAGTAGGCCACTAAGGAATAGCGCGCTGTCATGGCTGCACTGGACAGAGTGTTTACCGTAGCGATGGTTTGCAAACATATTATGCCGTCATCATTACTTGCGCTGTAATCATCATGCAGTTTCTACTTCAACAGAACACAAGCATTTAACTTCCCATTAAGTATCACTTGGGTCACACCCATGATCAGACTCCAAAAGTGCGCAATTAGCTGCACTCGGATGTTGCAGGTTCCAACAGCACGATCGAAACAAGGACATCGAAACGAATACAAGCGTACGCTTTTCGCCGAGTCGAAATTGTGAAAATTTGTCGAATAACAATATTGTTCGGAGGACACCAGTGAAGTGCAGGAGAAGTTAGCACTGACTGTAGTCGTAACTGCATATTTTATTGCTCTAACCATTTCGCTACACTGGTCAAGTTCGAGCAAATTGGTGGCATGCGGCATTTTGTAATACTCCCTGTAATTGGGCTACATGCAATACGCAAAATAATATAATTTTTTTTATTTTGACCTCACTGAAGGATATTATACAATAAATGCAATCAATGTGACTTGCAAGCTTGAAAAAAAACATTAACGCACGATGGGACAGGATGTGCAACGCGCTGTTCGTGAGCTAGCAGCTGATCGTTCATCGTCGCTGTCACCCACAGCGCGTTGACAACCATCTACGTTCAGTGAAAAAGCCTCGCCGTCAAGACAGTTTCTTTGAACATCGCTACTGAAAATAATCTGAGCAATTCTCTCTGCCGAACGGCTTCTATAGCACCAACAACGCGTCGTTCTACAACCCCAACGCTGCGTTTATCTGGGGGTGCAGAGAACATTTCAATCACAGAACACCTATAGTATACTGTTTCGCTCCAATGCCAGGCAAGAAAGGAATCACCTGAAGTGTGCTGCCATCTATCAACGAACGTAAAAAACAAGAGGCTCAGCGTAGGCCAAGGTTTTGAAGTGCAATACGTGAGCCTGCGCTACTTTCCGCTTGCAATGAATGCTATACGCATGTCAAACAAGGCGAGTTTCAACTGCAAAGGTTAAACAATATCATTTAATTATCCAATGTAGCTAAAGAATATCTCGCGAAGCTGGTATGTGTACTCTGTGGGCTATAATTGAAAGCGCGAGTTGCCACGTATTTTCACGAAAACTTCGCCTCTCGTAAGAACCAATCAGATTTATCGTGTCATAGATGGTCCGGTATAGTCCCTGATGCACGCAACATACAAAGTGGTTTGTGTTCGTTTCTTGCTAATGCGTTAACACTGAGGCTAGCACTGTCGAACAAAGGATCGTTGGGAGTGCCTGCCTGCTGATCATTATTGACAGGACGCTCCTGAATTCTGCTAGGCGGCACAACAGTCTATGAACATTGCGAATACGTATCTATATATGGTGGGTGTTTGTTATTCAAATCGTCATCATCCCTGCTTGGTCATAATCACCATCATCCGCTTGTCTCTTGGTCCTCATCGCCACTGTGGGTCATAATAATTGTCATCGTCTGTGTGCAGGCACTGCCCGTTTCTTTTGCGAGGTTTTTCCTCCAATAACTGCTGTCGCAACCAGAACTTCATACGTGGTGGAGGTCTGAGATTTAGTGCGGGCGTTTGTTATTCACAGCCTATATGAAAACTCAAGAAAGAAAAAAAAGCCGCCCGTGCTTGGCACTCAGGTCGTTACAATGCGCCAACGTGCGCTTGTCTACCATGCGTACTTTGCCCTGTGAATGGGGGGGAGGGGGGTGATGCTTGTGCATGTGCGCTTATCTTTCGGTGGGGAGAATCGCGTGCCTTCGACATTGACTGGAACGATTGCATTTAGTTGCCGGGCGCACAAAGATCACTTCGCTAGTTGGACAGGTGCCATTTTCAAAAAGAATGCATGTTTCAAACAGAGCATAGTAACGACTGGGGCACTTGTTAGCTCGAGCTCATATCTGTACCTGTGATTACGTTTTATAACTCGTTTTTGTTTAAACTACGCGTGAAGTGTCAAGCGGTAAATATTCTCAGTGCACTCACTTCCTATGTATGTTGTTGTCGTGCGTCATTTGTGCCTAAGCAGCGCGCTGCACGTTTCAATCTGTTAGCTGCTCTCAGTGTTACATTCCGAGTTGTTACTATCGCATTCATTGCTTCACCCTTGCGGCGAAACTGCGACTTTAAGTTCGGAAAACCATGTCGTCACGACCGAGGGGACGTCAGATTAGGCGCTGATGGAAACTCTTCGAGACCACGGTGATGACGGATCTTCCGAAGTCGACTTGTCGCGCGCTTCCGTTTTGTGCCGCGCCGCGAGTTCGCAGGCTGGTAGCTTTTGCAATTAGCTAATCAGTTTTGCTAACACAACGGCAGGTTGAATGGGATGCAATGATCGCGATAGCGAACAATTGTAATGTTATAAGAAGTAAAACTGGCAGCCAACTATTTTTGATCCAATATCGAAAAAATCCTACAAAACGCCGGTGTGAGCAAATACAGCCGCTCCAAGGAGAAGTGCTCTTTTCACACGGTCCCCTAGCATTGAAATCGCACTGATACTCGCTGAGATAGAGAGTGCGCCAGCGATCGCAACAGCCCTTAAAATCCAAGTTTATTATTGCTACTCGAGCGATCCCCCCCTCTCCCTTGTTTCATGCTCGTTCAAAGTGGGTGGTTTACTTTCCGCTTGAGCATTCAACGTCAGTTCTAACATGCGGGAGATGTTATACACTTTCCAGGCAATAGGGATGGGCTGACACATTTAACCTCTGGTTTAGCAGCGCTCACCGAATCTTACTCCCTCGAGAAAGTTACAATGCGCCGGAGCATGTTATCAATTTGTACTTGTTAGGGAACATGGCGGCGATGGCGAAAATTCGCAGACAGTGTCCATATAATTGCTATTGCTATACTAATGCAGTTTTTTACAGTAAAATAAGTGTTTTGGTTTAGCTCTGCCTTCAGTCCCCCCTTTTATTTAATTTGCACCTTTATTTTTCGAAATTTTGAAATGAACCTGCCCATAACGAAATCCTCTTTATAAGGAATTTTCCCGGAAATTTATCAATTTCGTTATATCCAGGTTTAACTGTAGATCAACAGGTGTTTCATACTTTTGTTCGCACTGTACTTGCTCCGTTCTCACCAATTGCATTGCACTGAAGCGATAGACAACGCAAAAAATTGCTTAGCTCACTGTGGCGACCGTATTCCTTTATGTCAGAGTACTGAAGGACGATGATTTGTCAGACTCGAAAGCATCGAGCTGCTACCCTCACTTCATGTACTATTCTGAAATTCCGCTATGGCAGCTTTGCGGCCAAACCGAATTTTTCAAAAGATCTGAGGACAAATGCGAATACATACCTGAAGAAACAGCGTATGGTTCTGTTTGCATAGCAGTTGATGATTGAATATTCTTTTCATCCGCTTGGGATCCTTCGTGGCACATAAGTAGCTGCACTTGAACAGATTTCTCTGTACCATCATTCCTGTCACACGCTGGCTCTAGTGATGTTTCCACAGCTTCTCCCCAATCACAAACCACACCTAGTGCTACTTTAGGTATTGGCTCTGCTGCATAGGCATCCTGAAATAAATTTGCTTCTGTTGTTACGAGTGATACTGCAAAATATTATTTCGAGAAAAGAAATGAAAGAAAGAAAGAATGAATGAGAGCTTACTTGATCTCTTTCTGTACTATGACTTGGTTTTGACGTGTGTAGAATGACTGTGCCTCCAGAGAGCAACCATGGAACAATCTGAAATAGTGTATGAGAAAATGAGTTACGCATGTATGCACTAAACAATAGGAACATATAGCAATTGTTGGAATGCATGCTTCTTAAACGTCTTTGAAAGGATGTAGTAAAAAAATTTGTACCTTTCTATAATAGCCTAATTTTATCTATTTCCAATGCTGCATCCAGCACTACGAATGTTGCTGAAGAACTCAATTTAATCAGACGGTCACGAATTGGGGGAATTAGAAAATAATCATGACGTCCAGGGTAAATAAAACACGGATGAATGAGAAAACGACGCAAACACTGAATCATTTAAAGCGGTGACGTAGCGCTTTTGTCCTCATTTTCTGCTGTTGTGTTTTGTTTTCACTGTGTATTATAACTCAAACCAATTATTTTTTCTGAACAGAGTTTCACTGAATATTGTCCTATAAAAATCTTATCCTATTTTGGAAGCTGGTCATCTGAATCTACATCATTGAGATTGAAAATAATGATGAAATTCATTGATTGGCCTCTGCAGTCCTAAAATATTTACAAAAATATCTTCGTATTCTTATATATGTTCTAAAATCTCGATCCAGCGCATCCCTCCCTTACAGTGAAAGATAAGCAAACAAGATTTGTAGAAGGCACCCTTCTTCGGTCACGAATGAAATGCAAAGTGGCAGAGGAGGAGAGGTGCACGCTTCCAGTGAAGTGCATTTGTTGAAAATTGTGCGTAGCATGGACTGAAAGACAAAAAGGAGCAGAAACTTGACGGGTTACAGCAGTTCTATGGACGCCGTGTTGGGACGCTATTGCACAGTGCACCAATACAGGCTGCAGAAAAAATTCTAAACATTATTTTGTTTTTATGCCGAAGACTCTGGATGCCGGCCTTCATCCCACGAGCTGTTGCTTTGGGTCTGGCAAGTCGTACTGCAACCACACCATCATGAAGCGTGTCAAGAACAAGCAGGCATGTCATTGATCACAGAGTACAAGGATTGTAAATAGCGCAAATAGGTCATTAAATTGCAAAAATTAGAAGTTTTTGATGGCTCATGTCCCCTATATTTGAATAAAGGCGATCAAACAGAGTCAGCCACACTGAACACTGAGCTGGAAACCTTTCTAAGACACGAATTGGCAGCCAAATAATGAGTGAAGCACTAATTTCTGGTTGCAGAAATCTGGGGAATTCTATTTTTCAGCTAGTGCAAATTTTCAGTAACGATACTTACGACAGTGCAGCCAGTTGTAAAAACAAAGATATGCACCTATATTCACGGTTGCACAAAACGTCACAAGATTTTGATACCATGGTTTTATAACTAGATGCTCTGGAAAGAATCTCTGTGTATACAGGAATACTGTACTTGTCACGGGGTCGTGATGCTGACGAAGGCAAAGACGGCTTGTCCGAACTGAAACTGTTTATTTGGCTGAACTTTGGCCGGTAAACGGAAAGTAAGATTACGGCGATATACACTGGCATTGGTACCAACAAAGAGTGCGTCGACCATCGATCAACTGACCAATGCTGATGCGCATCAGCATTTAGACATGTGCATTGAATATTCCAGTGCTATCACTAGAGGGCACGTAGGTTCAAGAGTAATCAGTTATGTTCGCCTTCTGCGCGTAATCTTTACAAAATAATCTACTGCAATCCTGAAGCTTTTCAAACACTGCAAGGGCAGTTCGCGCTGAGAATTACTAACAGTGTAACAAGGTGATAACAAAACTTGAAGGAATATGGCAATAACCTCGATGAAAGAAGCTAAGGAAGTTACTAAGGCATCAGGAGAATCGCTCACGGGTGTGCGCAGAAGGATACGATACGGCATTGTATGTGTCAGTTTCACGATCCCATGTGTTCAAGCTTCCTACACAGTGATGTGACTGTCCAAATCTGCATCCGGGAACCTATACCAAAAGTTGTATAAGTAAATAAGATGACAGCAAATTATCTAGCGATACTACATAAACCAGTTTCTTGAAGCACACACTACCACCATCTTGAGCACAAACAGTAAACGCAACAGCGTTCGGGGCATCCGCAAGTAGGCACATCGACCAGTATTTGCTTGGAAGCTTCTCACCTTTCATATGCTCCAGTTTTTCCACTGTACACGACGCGCCGGAAACACGTTCACCGTTCGTTGTCACATCTAAGGAAGAATCGTGCTCCATTGAAGGAAGTCCGTTTTCATCGTTCACTTTTCTTTTTTTGCCGAGCACTTCTCCTCTCGATGTCCGGGAGCTGCGCTTCTGAGGAAGCTTTTTAGAGAGATAACTCGGCGTGTTTGGGAAGATCGACGGTATTGCATTGTCGGTAAGGCATGGGCGGCCGCGAGGAATCTTCACAACTTCACCATTCACGATGCGTGTGTAATCTCTCACAATAAACCGTTGCTCGAAGTGTAACTCGCACAGGACTGCAGTTCGGTCGAGCAGTTTGTCACCACGTGGAACGTACCGCTGCCATGCTTTCAGCCGGTCCTCATCGTTCGGTACGGTAAAAACAGACCTTTTTATACCTGCCTTTCGGGCTAAAACGTACCCGGTAGAGCATCCGGGCGCGAAGCAGTGAGTCTGGCGCTTCACTGGTTTAGCCATCACGATATGCGGTGTGAAAAGGCTTCAAAACTTCGAGCATCGTGCGAACAGTACGAACGCAAGCCGCGGAAACGCACGTGCTTCGCTTCGACCCAGAGGGGCATCTAAAAAACGACACGCGCGCCGCCGCTCGTCGGCATGAACAACTGACACCCTCTCCGCCAACCTCCGCAGTGCGCGACCACCTCCCCTTCTAGTACACCTTCTAGCCACCATAGTCGTACAGCGCAGTAGCTACAGGAGTGGATTGGATTGGATGCCTTGCTGGCTCCAGTACATAGTTGCCAGGCGTTCAAGCGGAATCCGCTAAAACTGGCTGAACCGAAGCCTATTGACGAGATTCAAGGAAATTTAAGGACCTGAAAAAATTCAAGGGTTTTCAAGGCCTTGAAAATGCTATTATCAAATTCCAGGGTTTTCAAGGGTTTCAAGGACCGCTACGAACCCTGAAGCTAAACAGTCTTTGCCGAAAGACGAAACCGGAGCGCCCAGAGAAAGGTCTGTGCGAAAAGAACCACCGTATTAGGTTTGTCGCGTGCATCACAGGAGTCATCTACCGGATCCCATCAATGTGCGATGCATGCTATATAGGCCAAACTGGTAGATGCATCATTGATAGGCTGAATGAACACAAGAACAACGTGGCCAAGGCACAGCCTGAGGGTTTTTTTGCAATTCACTGCAAAGAAAACGGGTGCCGACCCCTCTTTAATCGCACCAGCATAATCGGAAGAAGCACTAACCAAATGACAAGGCTCATCATAGAAGCAAAATTCATTGCTAAGTTTGGGGACGCGTGTATAAGCAAGCCATCGATATAATTATTATTGAAAGAATTGCATTATTTGGATGTCCCATGAGTTGCAGTAGATCAGTTTTCTGGTTCTAGCATGTGGTTGTGACGCACCATGTTTGGGTATAAGTATTGCTGTTTCTCAGATTAAACCGCATTGTTGAAAGTTAGCACCGTGTATGTGTTCTGTGTTTTCTTCTCAGTCCCGTCCTGGATGCGCTATACCTCCAACAACATGAACAACCAACAAGCCCGCCGAGCAACCTTAGTTGTTTATTCGGCACAACTTGCAGCCAGGAACTGAAGGTCAGACTATAGCAACACATGGGCTCTGACAGCGGTGAATGGAGCGTCGGCCGGCGATTTAGATAGATTTATTTCCAGAAATACAAAGATTCTGGCGGATACCATCGACTAAAAGCTGTTGTCAAACAGCTTGACGGGGTCGATGGTCCGTTACAAGGCATATGTGGCAAATGTACACAACAATATCTGAAATTATTGAAAAACAATGAAAACAGAAATTCAATGCAGAAGAAGACAGGAAATCATACACAATTTGCTCTGACAAGTGAAACATAGAAAACAATAATAGTAATACGTTAAGTCATCACATGTTAACAAAGAGAGTCCTGAGTTCCTTGGCTGAGAAGCACTTGACGTCTTTGTATTTATTTAAAATATGCGGCAAGTTGTGCTCTAATGATTGTAGCCTATAATTATTGCGAAATCTAGGAACATACCACATGTCACTATTTCTAGTATTGGCGGAAGTGATTCTAGGTGTCAACGATGCAGTAGACGCAAGAAAATTATGAAGATATTTTTTAGAGAAATAAAAGGAATAAAGTAGGCGAAAAGTGTAAAGATGTTCTATTTTAATGATTCTATGATTTAGGAAAGCTGGCCGTGTTGTCTCTAAGAAGCCCATATTGTCAATGTGCCGAATCATCCTTTTTTGCAGTAAAAATAATTTCATAATGTTTGTTTTCCCAGTAGTCCCCCAGACTAAGCTACAATAACTTAAATGAGAAAAGAATAGAGCATAATAAATGTTAAGTTTTGCTTTCGGTGGAAGAAGATACCTACATCTAGATAAAACACCTGTTATAGCTGACAGTTTTTACAGATATTTTCTACGTGTTTATCCCAAGTAAGATGCGAAGAAAAAGTAACGCCTAGTAATTTATGTTCATCAACAATTTGAAGTTCTTTACCAGCAAATAATAACGTTTGTTGGCAAGTCAGAGATTTGTTTTTAGCGCGAAATAACATTACTTTAGTTTTTGTAGGATTTATTTTAAGGCAGTTAGCAATCGACCATTGAGATAACTTAACCAGTAGATCGTTGCATTGTCTTATTAATTTCTGTGAATCCGGACCAGAAACAAGAAGTGTAGTGTCATCCGCGTATATGATAAATTGAACAGAGGTGGTAATATTAGTAATGTCATTAACATAGACATTAAAGAGCAGCGGACCTAATACACTACCCTGTGGTACACCGTTTATTATGGGAAGAAAACATGATTTTTCGTCTCTTATGCAAACAGATTGTTTGCGATCAGTTAAATAAGACTCGAATAATGTTAATGGAATACCTCTTAGGCCATTCTGT